CTAAACAGAATTTACACTATGGGTACTAGATAACAGATAGAAATACTAAAAAACCTTTTTTTGTATGTATATCCATAGAAAAAACCCAAGCCAATACAAACATACTTATAAATACAAAGTTTGTATTATTCGGGAATCGAACCTGCGGTTATTGGAACATAATGCGATATGCTAAACCACTGCACCGCCATGATTGTCGTGGCCACTTTGTTTTTGCAGATAATGTGGGCGGCTTAATAAAACTTTATTTTTTATTTTGCTTGCTCTTGCGGTGATGAAAGAAAGGAGTGGTGATAAATTATATTCTTTAAAATGTAATGCAAAATATGCAATAATCAGGGTTGCCAGGTGCGATTCTTTATTTTGACCCAAATGTCCGATATTTTTCACCCAATCGATTCAATTTCCTTCGCTTTTACTCAATCACAGTCTCGTATTATCGTCTCTATTTCTGCTTCTTCTTTTATCTTATGCTTTGATTTACTACCTATAATATATTGATATATATTGTATTTTAAAAATATTTATTTTTCATATCATCATCGTCATCATGTCGACCTTTAACTGTCCACTGCTGAACATAAGCCTCTCCCTTGGGGGAATTAGCCAATAGTTGCCACGCTTGACAGGCGGGTTTTCATTTTTTTATATATCGTCTACAAATACCAAAATTATTAAAAAAAAAAAACTTCTCCAAATATTTCTTGAAAAATTACATTTCACTAACATTTCACGAACAAAAATATTTAACACAAAATTGCAAAAAGAATATCCATTCTGGCAACACTGGTGATAAGAATGAAGAGACTCAAAAGAACTTGTATCCAGAGCCGTAAAACATTAAAAAAAAAGTACATTAAAAATAAATAATAATTAAACTGACAAAACATAACGCAAAAATCGTCCATTATTGCATTCAAGTATGCTAATCCTGTATTAATGTCAACGATTATAATAATACGAATATTTGATGCTGTCTCGAACGCGCGTTATGTAACAAGGTGAAGGTTACAGTATTGTTACAAAAGGTTACAGCTTTTACGAAAACCAAATGTGTAAAGCGAGAACCACACTGACAGATATGCTAAACGAATCTAATTTTGAGCGTGCAATGCACCTACTTTCCGCTGTTTAGTTCACACTACGAACTATACAATGTAACGAACTAAAAATGTAAACTAACGATGAAGTTGATTCTAAGGCGTTATTTCTCTAAAGCTATCTCTTAACCTAATTTTGATAATTTTGCAAAATTACTGTTTTATGTAAAATTAAAAAGCAAATGTGATTTTTTAACATGTGTTTTTTATCATATTTATTCTTACGCTAAATATCTACCGTGCTTTTCTTTTCTCCTCTACCCAAAAGTTATCTAAAATGGATTGTAGTCTTTTGTACTTCATAAGTGTAATATATATTTAATAACAAATAAATAAATAATATATATACTATATTACTTATTTTTTTATTGCAAAATAAAACTTTGTACAAGTGGCAAGCTTAATGCCACATGGTATTCTCTACCAGCTAACCATATCAGAGTGATACAATATACGATAAAAATATATAAATAAAAGTACGAATGATTGAGTACATGCATGCGTGAATGAAAGAATAAATAAATGTATAAGAATTTTTGCTTTAAATCTATTAGAAATTTAATTAATTTAATTAATAAATCCTTAAATATCAACGTGAATCCTGATAATTAAATTTGCATAGCTTATTTAACTAGCATAGTTGGTTGTACGTTGAGCAAAAATAGCTAATCATTAAAAATGAAAACGTTTATATGTTACTTTCATGTGTTTTTTCATTTTACTACTCATTTTTATCCATGACTTTGTCTGCGACACCGAGTAAACGCTAAAAGACGATAAATAAATAAATCTAATTTTAAATTGATAATAATTGTACGGACATAATTATATTTAGGTCGTAATAGTATTTTTAATTTTATCCTACCCCATTAGCTTATAATCTAAACAAAGTGTGATTCGCTTAGCTTAGCTATCAGTGTAGCTTGCGCTTAACTGACGATCTCTGTTTATATTTCGTAGACACTTTTAGTAACATACTTTGTAATCGATTTAATGCCACATCTATTTTTGTTCTTACATCATTCCGTTTGATCTCTTGACTTCTTATTTAGAATTTTGACTCGATTTTGACAAGCGATTATACTCGCGTTTACTGTCAAATGCAATTTGAATTATTTGCTATGAAATTTTGTATCTTCAATAAAAAGTTCTTAAAAATACATAGAAATTTGTATATAATGAAATATCAGGGTATTATATAATTCAATGTTAATATTAATAATAACTAATTTATCAATTTATACCTTAGCCTATTTTTGGTAATATATTTCTTACTATGTTGCAATGTAGTTCCGGCATTAAATGGGCTACCCCTTTCTTTATCTTAGGAGGTAATAAAGAGAACTTAATGGCCGAGGGATAGGCAGCAGCATACTGGAAATCCCCCCAATAGGAGAAGGTCTGTAACGTGATGGGGGGATGATAGGAAAACATAAACGTACTATAAGTTACTATAGTGAATAAAGAAAATAATTACTATGTAAATTAAAAATTTATTACTAAATAAATAAGTAACGTTTGTGATTTTCCTACTCAAAGGTTGACTTGAAGAGAATGCTAATGGCAATACATCCGGCTTTAATACCACATTGTTTGTTTTTTAATTAATAAATAAGGTAAATATAGTTCAGTATTAAATTTATTACATTTACTCGATATTTTTAGGAATATTTTTCTTAACAATTCTTTTAGGTATAATAACAGAAGAGACCAGAACAAGACGAGAAGGAATGAGACGATCGAAGAATAGGTGAATAGGCTGTGTGAAAGATGACATGCATAAAAGAAGAGACAGAAATTTGTTGTAAGGGAAGATATACTGTACCAACCCCTAATAAATGATTAGAGGCCAGAGCCTTAGAACCAGAATGGTCACGCACGGTGCAATTTCAAAGGAACTTCCTCCTGCGAACATTCATATTGTGAAATGCTCGTCCTGCCAAGACTTTCCTTAGACTTTTTTTTATGCACCTTAGAATGGCAAACAAGCTGACGGCCCACCTGATGGAAAGTGGTAACCGTCGCCTATAGACATGAGCAGTACCATGGACATAACAGAGTATACTGTTTCGTCCATGATACCCCCATGCGTTGCCATTCCTGAGGATTCAGGTGTTATTCCTCTGTACCCAGTAAATTCACGCCATATCCGACCCTTCAAACTGAAACACAGCCATGCAAACACAACTGTTTCACGGTTGAAACACGAATGGGATTGAGGTACCCAAGCAATCGACTTTTGTACAAAGTCTTTTCTCTGGTAAGAAAGATAGGAAAAAATTGCATACTAAGCACAGAATGTAATTACTGTCTTCAACATTATGTACAGATAGACCGACAAAATTATTTATTCTTCTTCTGGTATAGACTACAACAGCAATAGGATTCTTCAAACTGTAAATGAAGTAAGCAAATTATTCTTAAATAAATAAAAGGGGCGTATTAAGGTTTCATAAGGGTCGGCAATGCGCGCGTAATATTCTTTGTTTTACAGACGAACTATATGCTTATTTGTCAGCATAGTGGTATAAAAAAAAATTAAAAAAGACAAGTCGTAATGATAATAAAAAAGACCATTCATGTACAACAGAAATTTAACCTACTTACTATGTTTGTCGTTTCAGACTCTGATCAGTTCAAACTAGATGGCGCTGTCATTAATCCTTATTAATATTATGAATATGAAAATGAGTTTGTTTGTTTGTTACCTTATAGCACTATAACGGCTTAACCAATAACTATATTGAATTAGAACGAGTATATAGGTACTAGTAGGGTTTTCTGTTTTTCATCCCATGTTAAAAATGAAATAGCGAATGTACGTAAATGAGTAACTTATTTGACAATTTTTTTTTTTTTGTATTTATATTTGTTAGGATTAAGTTTACATTAAAGAAAATTTAATCCAAAAAATCAAGTCGAGTCGAGTCGAACTTTCTCGATCTACTTACACTTAAATGAAACCGGTAGTTATTACATTGAAAGAAAATATTTTAAAAATATGAAGGAAAAAAAAATTAAATAAATATCCATGTAGAAAAGTAAGCACTGACTCTTTTCAAAAATAAGCATGCACCCTTGTAAATAACAAGCTTTAAATTACAATAGTACAAGCTTATTTTAGAACAGTGTTAAAAAAAGTCTGCTGATTGCATAAACAATTCTTTTTCATATATCAAAATCGAACGGACAAACTGCAATAGTAGAGATAATAAAAGTGAATGTTGTCTTTTATCATTGACCATTTGTATTTTATGGTCAAAACAACACAAAATTGTAACATTCTTAATAAGTCGGCAGCGATATAATTTAGAATTCCAAGGACTTGTAACTTTAAATTTATAATAAGATGACCCATTCGAGGCGGACTGTGACCATCTGAGATAGAAGGTCACGACAGTTTTTTAAATTAACATTTATTTCAATATTATAATCATGTCCTCACCTTAAATTCAACTATAATGGAATAAAGCGCACGTTAACTTTATTCACAGCTTGATTTATGTTTAACGTAATATTTAAAATGTCAATCTAAAATAACATTTTAGCATTGAATTTTATTGGCATTTAATTATGTAAATGATTCCGATATTGACGGCGCATCACTAACCTTATAGCCATATGGTGATAATATTATTGATATGAATATTAAAATTAGGTGGAGCGGTAATAATAGAATAATACAAAAAAACTTTTTGTTCTAAAATAACTTATTTAATATTTCAAGATTCATTTATATAAATCTTAAATATAATTTGTTGTACTCATTAGGTATAGACAGGGTTACATTTCAGTGTGTATCAACAGTTTCTAAATTCAAAATTTTATACCAAGGGAATTAATAAAAGTATAAAAATTTTGAATTTAGAAATCGTATCACGAACAAATGAAAACATCAAGTATAAAAAAATTACTTAACATACATTGTTTATTAACAACATCAAATCGGGATCGTATCACAGATCGCTTGGAGGAAGTAACAAGGATAGGGACAGGAGGGAGTTAGGGATATGAGTATTTTTGGACTAGATCTTTGCTTGTATTAAATTGATTTAAGCGACTTGGGGTAAGTGGGCGCCTTGGGGCTGGAAACCGTTCTCGTCGGCGACGTATGTCACTGTGTACTGTTGGCCATCAGGACCGGTGTAGGAGAACTGGCCGCGGACTGCGATGGCGGCGTTCTCGGAGCCAGCGTTCACGAGTTGGCCTTCCTCTTGTTGGGAGATGCCGTTGGAGGTTTCGAAGCTGTCGAAAATAAAAAAGTTTAGCACAATCCTGAGGCTAAAAATAACTGAGCCTAATAGAGTATAATGTGCTAAATATTTACATAAAATATGATTGCTTGAAATAAACACATGCAAAATTATTCCTGAGATGTCGTCAGGCGAGTTGAAAGAGGTTTCATCTTTGGTAGAAAACAAATTGATATTTAAAAAGATTAATGAATCAAGTGTACGTTATATTTGTACCAAGTATAGGCTTATATTATTACCCGTATGAGTATCCATCGACACCGATGTTGTTGCTATCGTAACGGAGGATCTGAGCGGTGGAGTCTGGACCACCGACGACGGCGGGAGCAGCGACGGCAGCGGCAACGAACACAGCGAGAACAATGAACTGTTGGCAAAGATGTTACATTAGACACGAACAGTTGTTGTATCTAGTAATTTTGTATCACACACTTCAATCCTGAACGTACCGATTTCATTTTTGAATTGGGTTTTTTTTGGTCCTGGGACTGTGTAATTGGAAGGCAATCGAGCGACTGATGGCCTGTGGACCGCGGTGTGGGTATTTATAGTTGGCGCGCATCGGTGCAAGGCAAGGACGCGCGGTGACATTTGAACTTAGAAGTCTCCGCGGCGCGATCTTCTTCAAGCCGGGTACCTGCGAGCTCTTTGTGACATGTCCGGTTGCGTGCTTTATGATATTTGGTTAACATTTAAATTATTAACCGCCCGATATTAATATTATCGAGTTGAAATATAATCCCGGTTTTAACGCGGATTTGAACTATGCTAAATTTGTGTAAATATTACACAAAATATTTTAATATACCTGTAATTTTTTTCAAAAGATTTGATTGTGTGTTTGTAATGGATAAACTCAAAAACTAGTAGTTTACTACTAGTTTTTGAGTTTATCCTGGCGTTGAGATTATTACTGACTGATTTTTATAATTTCTTACACTTATACAAAGCTACATTGTTGTTAGCGAGTGATAACTATATATTATTATCGATTTTTTTATGCAACTTAGAATGGCAAACAAGTTGACAGTTAACCTGATAGAAATCAACTTTACACGTTGCTTATGTTACTCAGGAATAATGTAGCATTCTAATAGATATTATAATGAAAGAATTTTTGAAAAATGTCCTGTAGTTTTGAAGTTTATTCGTTACAAACATACAAAAATACAAATTTCCTTTTTTATAATATTATATAATATATAATAAATAAATAATCCCTTATGTGGTAGTCATAGACTGTACACCGATACTTGAAGGAAGCCAGCTCTTATACTAATCTGGTTTAAATTGATCAATTAGCATTCATTCAAACGAGATACAATCAGATATCAGATGAGATCAGACACCTAAAACTTGTCCACATTTTACCGAACATATTAAAGTCCATGTAAAAACGACATATTAATAAGGAGCAAGTTTTTCGCCAATATTATGATTCAGAAGAGCCTCAAGCTAAGATACTGTAAGTTATATACTGTAGCAACCCGGCAACAAACATCTGAGGCCCTACCATGAAATGTTTTCCGAAATTTCGGAGCCAAACAAAACACAAATTTGATGTTAAAATTACATAATACATAGTGTATATAAATATTAAAAATATTAAAATATCGTTCCATTTATGATAGGATTTATGAAAAACGAAATGTTATTCTTCATTTACAAGTTCAATTTCAATATTAATTAAAACTTAAAAATGGGAATTTCATTTCATAGTAGAACCCTTGGGAGCAGATCAACTACAAACGTGCCGTTACAGAAAAGTTAGTTTCTTAAATGTACTTAACCGAAAATCATACCTGGGTCATTACACCACCCAACATACCTACCACTGCACCACTGTTGTTGTAAATATCTTATAACGAATCTGAGCTTTTCTCGTAACTTTATTCTAATAGATATTACTTAAAAAAAAAAGCTCTAATTTCCAAATAAATCATTTTCTCAAGAGAAGTTTTTGTAAAAGAGTCGTTTGGATGGGTATTTCTTACCAACTAGTATTTCAATAATAAGCAACTCTACCTGCATAACTGTATTTCAGCATTATACTATGGTATCTATAGAATTACGGACTAATACGGGATATTGAAGCAACCTAGACCTAAGTCCTGAGTAATAGTAAAGCATAGGGTGTTAGTACCATGGGCGTTATGGTGGATTCTATAATACTCGTGGTGCTGTTGTTATCTATACACAATCGTCACCTTTTCTAATCAGGCGGCCCATCAGCTTATTTGCCATTACAAGTTGCACAACAAACAAATTAAATAGAAGTTAAATAAGTTAATTTTAACTTAACCTATATAGGTTATATAGCGGTAAATTTTATTATGTTGTTATTTTGTGGGAGAAATAAATATATATTTACATATTTACATTTACAACTATCATATCTAGTCACTAATATATCAAGAAAGTTTAAACATTCAATGAAAAAAATACACTACATTGTGTTCTTTGTGGAAAAGTTGAAAATATTCATTATATCTTCAGGGATATTGTTGTGATAACGACAGTTAAATAATAAATAGGTCAAAGTGAAAGGGAAACATTTTTAAAAAAATAATTAGCATTATTAAATATTATGTGGGTATTGTTGAAAGCATAATGCACACTCCGAATGGCGAAGTTACTTTGTGTTTAACTAATTAGTAAGTGAAATTGTTTAGTTTTAGTTATATTAGTTGGTAACTAGTTTATATACTATGAAAAATCCTAAATTAAATTTAAACTTTTTATGCAACTTAGAAATGGTAACAAGCTTACGGGCCACCTATAAATATGAATATACTATGGATAAAACAGAATATACTCTTTCGCCCATGATACCCCCCATGCGTTGCCATACCTGAGGACTCAGGTTTTATTCCTCTGAACCCTGTAAATTCACTGTCATATCCCACCGTTCAAACCGAAACACAGCCATGCAAACACAACTGCTTCACGATACAAACACGAATGGGACAAAGGTGCCCAAGCAAAAGAATTTTGTACAAAATCTTCCTGTGGTAAGACAGATAGAAAAAAATTGCATACTAAGTACAGAATGTAATTACTGTTTTCACCATTGTGTACAGATAGACCGACAAAATTATTTATTCTTTACTACATAATAGAATTTATGTAGTTATATATATGCTCCTTTCCACTCAGGGTTTGCTGGAAGAGAACTCTTACAGAGTTACGCTCGCCTGTTGTACATCTTTATTTTATATATATATATATATATATATATATATATATATATATATATATATATATATTATATGTTGTAATTTTTTGTGTACAATAAAGAATAAATAACACTTTTTTTTATATAAGCTAAATATAAACTTTTTAAGAATAACCTTTAGGAAATTTTCTTGTGTGTTTTGCCAATATTCCGATGTTACCGCGCGATGTTACCAATCATAAATTGAGCAAGGATGCGTCAGCGCAGGTCACCAAATAAATCAAGCGGCACTCCAACACTTTTATTGTTTAATAAAATTATACACGCCAAAACTTCGTAAACCACGTATATGGTAGATGCAGAGATTGGATGGAATTATGCAATCTTTATACTTAGAATGAACGATAACCCACGATCTAAAATCTTAAAGTTAAATTCTTATATATATATATATATATATATATATATAATAGAATTTAACATATTTCATCACACAAGGGCAAGACTAACAATAATAAATAATTTAAAATAAAATTAATTTTAAACAATAATGAATAACGCTCAGATTTTTTCTTTGCTTGATAGAATCCGAAATGAGGTTATTTGCAGAAAAATTGAAGTGACCGGCATAACCAGGAGGATAAGCAATCTGAAGTGGTGATGGGCTGGTCACATAGCTAAAAAAATTTACAACTAATAGGGAATAAAGATTATTGAATGGCGACTGCATACAGCTAAACCGCAATGTAGGACGGTTCCCCACCAGATACTCAAATACATTGCAGAGTGTCAGTGAATGCATATGGCTCAGGAAATTCCTTATGGCAGTCTATGTTCAACAGTGGACAAATAATGGCTGAATGATGATGATGATGATGATCATGCCATCACTTTATCGAATAGAAAGAATGTTTTTTTACAAATAAAAAAAAATAATGAACCTACTAGTCATTATTAATTTAGGCACGAATTTACAGAACTAAAAACTATTTTTGTTTAATTTATTCATGTTATTATTAACCGGAAAAAAAATAAAGATATCTTTTGAATAAAATCAATAGAATTGTCATAGGATTGTACAAAGGTACAAGGTGAGTATCCGGATGTACCTTAGTTGAATCAGAACAAATTAAATAGTACTTTATTATGTTTGAAATATAATCCAAATTGGTGAACCATGAAAATGGCCGTCTAACTGGTGGCTTGTTTTAGGACCAGCTAGCTATGAGAAGGAATAATGGTTACTACTTCTCGAAGCATTTGTATAGAGACACTTTATCTATATAATCTAAGAGTTTTGGTTTTTTAATGGGTGATAATGGAATGGTAAACCCACCCGCGCTATCGGTATACACCGGCGGAGCACCAGTGAAGGATGATAGGTTAAGATGAAACAGGCCAGTTAGCCCATCGTGACGAATTCAACAAGAATTGTTCACGATGGTTTCCGGGGGAACCACGTGGAGGTCGACCTAATAGGGTATATTGCTAGCAATGGGGCTGTCAAACTCGATTACTAACAATCTCTTTCACCCCCGAGTTTTGGTTAGGCCTAGTAACTTTAGTTAAAATCTTTTTTATAATGCTATTAAATTTTACTCTCGGATTCGTCTACTTAACTGAGATACAAAAACTTTTTATATCTTCACGAATATTATAATTTACACTATGAAATAATATTTTTATGCGATTTAGAATGTCAAACAAGCTGACGGCCCACCTGATGTAAAATAGTAACTGTCGCCTATAGACCTGAGCAGTACCACAGACATAACAGAGTATACTGTTTCGCCCATGATACTTCGCATACGTTGCCATTCCTGAGGACTCAGGTGTTATTCCTCTGTACCCTGTAAATTCACTGCCATATCCCACCCTTCAAACCGAAACACCGCCATGCAAACACAACTGCTTCACGGTAGAAACACGAATGAGACAGAGGTGCCCAAGCAAACGATTTTTGTACAAAGTCTCCCTCTGGCCACATGACTACACCCAATATGACCACAGACTCCATTAGTAAGTAGATTCAATCGACTAAAAATATAATAAATAGATTTATTTTCTCTTCACAATTCATTACAGTGAAATACAATAAGACATGCTTATATTAAAATAATCAAATTATAAATATAATTGTGAGAGACTGGTGCCTAAGATGGGTATAAGAATACCTGTATTACAGGTCACCAGGGCCTCACTCCGCAGGGTTACATACTAAGTACTTGTAATATGAAAGAAACGCGGATCTAAAAATATAAAGTATTTTATAAAAATTTATCAATATTCATAATTATTAAAATACAATAATTATTATAATAGCCACATGGAACGATCCTTAGTCTCCTACGTCTATTTACTTCCTGCAT